TGGTTCGTTTAGCGCCGATCACGCTGACTTTGGATGCGCCGCGCACTGAGGTCCGCGCAGAGGTGATGGGATGGTGCAATTTGTGCGTAATGTCTGTCCACGCGAGCAAATGTGTCTATAGGATTCAGGGAGATCCATGGCGAACCTGTGCACTTGTTTACAGTGTTTTCCTTGCGGATGATGGAGCGTGTCTGTGTCGACGCCGCCAGATGTGTGCTCCGCCAATTGCTGTCTCCGATAAAGGAGACCAACTGCTGGAAAACGTCTGGTACGAACGATATGGTAGTCCTGTCGTTTGTTGAAAAAGAGGTTGGCTCAGCGCCAAGCGTAATCGCGGACACGCCCATCATCCGCAACGAACCAGAGTATGAGTTGTACTGTTCAGTCATCAACGGACTTACGAGATAATGTCGACTTATTATAATAATAATTTCAGTTATTTCGGATTAATTGATGGTTGAAAGTTTTCTACTATTTCTTTTACATATCCGAGTTCTCTACAAAGCGAGTTCCGCTATTCTGGACTCAGCACAGTGAGACCTTCTATATTGCCATCTTCCTCTTTATATCTCTCTCGGAGTCTCTCATCGCTCTATATTTGTTATTTATAACTTAATTTAAGATTTGTTCTGGCAAGAAACCTTTTTTCTAATCCTATGCTGCCACTGTATGCATCTACTACTCTCTTTACACTGAAACATGCTCGATCTCCTCTCTCCAGCCCCCTACATTAGCAATCACCTTCCCCCTATATGTATCTACAATTTATTAGATTTTGCGCATTTTCTGTTTTCTGTTCCTACAGCTCCTTTTCTGAACGTTTCTACGTCAGTCTCTCTCCCTATCGCTAATTCTCATATTTTCAGCACACTCCCTCCTCCTCTACTCGTTGTTGTGTACCTATCCTTCTTCCCCATAACAACGTCTCACTGTCGCACACGACCCAGCCTCGATTGAACAAATAGCTTTCACCCCTATCACGACTATTGTTTCCAGCTTTTCAGCAAGCCTTCACCGTCGTTAACCGAGTGATCGTTAACCGGCGATGATCTATTTCGGGCACTCGTTTGCAGTCTTGTTTGAAATCGTTAAGGCTGCTTTTATACTTTGCGGCAGCGTAGCGCAGCGGGTGCTAACGTATTTGGAGGGGGCACGCGGCTCGCGGCGAGTGATGACTCATCGGCTCTTCACTCATTGACATACTTAGAGCGCTAATCTAGCAGCAAAATTAGAATAAAACAAACAAGATTCACCGAATACTTGCTGAGAAATCCCACAGAAGCTGAGAACAACATGTTTGATCTTTTGTAGTCAAGAATAACGGTCAACATCAAAAAGGCAACAATCGTTGGTAGTTTAGGCAAAATCTTCCATCCTACAACTGTTTCTTCGCACTTTTCAGCGTTAACTGCTTAAGCTTTCAAATATAGCTAGGACGGTGTTATATCCATGTCTTAAACATGAGGTTACTTCTATTTTGCCGAGGAGGAAGCAGAAGAGTCGATGAGTCATCACTCGCCGCGAGCCGCCCCCCCTCCAAATACGTTAGCACCGCGCAGCGGAACGTAGCGCTTCCAGCGTACGCCAGCGGCAGTGTCGGGGAAAGGATAGATATCGATCTAGCGTTCCCAGCGTCACCAGCGTACGCTAGCGTGCCGCTAGCGCACGCTGGCGTAGCGAGGGCACGGGAAGCATAGCTATCGATCTAGCTTCACCAGCGTTTCTCCAGCGTTTTCCCAGCGCTTGCAGCGACGGGGCTAGAGAGGGGCTAGAGAGTATTGAAGGGAGGAGAGTATTTTGTACTCTCCTACTTTCAATACTCTCTAGCCCCGCTAGCGCTTGCAGCGACGGGGCTAGAGAGGGGCTAGAGAGTATTGAATGTAGGAGAGTACAAAATACTCTCCTCCCTTCAATACTCTCTAGCCCCGTCGCTGCAAGCGCTGGGAAAACGCTGGAGAAACGCTGGTGAAGCTAGATCGATAGCTATGCTTCCCGTGCCCTCGCTACGCCAGCGTGCGCTAGCGTGCCGCTGGCGTGCGCTAGCGTGCCGCTGGCGTGCGCTAGCGGCACGCTAGCGTAAGCTGGTGACGGTGGGAAGCTAGATCGATATCTATCCTTTTCGGCACTGCCGCTGGCGTACGCTGGAAGCGCTACGCTACGCTGCGCTACGCTACGCTACGCTGCCGCAAAGTATAAACGCAGCCTAACACGTTCGCGGCGACGCCATTTCGCCAAAAGTTCCCGTTTGTCGTTCAGCGCGTTCGCGGTGGACGACAAACGCTGAAACCTTCTGTTTATCTTCTTCAGAAAAACGTTCCGTGATTGTTTCTTTCTGCCACGTTTTTACAATTTCTCTTCAGACGAGGTTTCAGGCAACTTTTGAGGGGCAACGTGTGGTTTTTTTGTGTCACTCAATGTACGAATCATTGTTTTGTCATCTTTCACCAGTCTGGCAATAGTAGGTACATCTTAAAAAGGAAGGTTTGATTGGCTTGAACGAAGGCCGATCCGTGATTTGACCCTAGTAGGCGGACCATTTGACACTACATTACCTCCCCGGACTTCCTCACGTGGTTATGGATTCAATGGAATCACTGCCCAATAGGCAATACTTTTCCTTCCACACGAGAGTGTTTCTCCTTCTCGCCAAATGCAAGCAAACAGAATGCTTGGCTAAGGCGCAGCCAGTTAATACGAAGTAACAGCCATATTAGGCGCTATTGGGCTCGCGGGTAGCAGGAGGGCATTTTATGCTTTTGCTATTTTCTTGTGTAAGTTTTTCGTAACTAATAGATATGGGTGATGAGACCTGTAAGTTCTGTGGGGCTGCGAATCATTTCGGCTACAGGAATTTCTAGGTCTCCACAAGGCGGTCTGTGCAACCTCATAGTTAGCTAAGTGTCATTTGGTGCCCCCACCAGTCGAATTGCGCCGTCACGACTGCTAACTGAATACAGTGCACATAAAGATAAGCAATAAATACCTACTGCTATTCACAAAAAGGCGCAGTTTGGCTTGACTTGTTATCCTGCCAGGATTTTATGACAGATTCGAAGGGTTGTGTATTTCAAAGCTGTGTTCGCATGAGCTCACATTTAGTCGGCTGTTTCATTACTAGAGCCAGCGGAATAAGTTAATTTCGCCTGGCAACGTAGTTTATTTTGTTGAATGAATAGGCTGGTCCAAGTCAGAATAGGCACTAGCGCCTACTTCTCGTTTCTGCGCTCATTCTCTCTTCGCCACAAGCTTAGAATTTGCCGTACCCCTCCCCCACCTCTCGACAGCGAAAATGAATTCGGAAACTTGGGGAAAAACCCGAAAATTTCTAGAGAACCTCGGAAGGATTGGAGTCTAGCACTAGGCAAAGTGGTAAGTAGGATGGTGAAGAGGAGAGGGGTCATATCAAGGGAGGGGATTTAGGATGGATTATTTGCTGAAACCTTTCCTTAGCGACAAGATGTACCCTGGAGGCAATGAAGACGTTATTCAGGGCGGTACATATGGTGTTTTTTTTTGCTTTTTCTCTCCAATTTTGAATTACTCAGCGCTTTGACATTGGTACTTGAAGCACACTGACCGCAAATTAAGGCAGTTGAAAGGCGATTCGTCCTTAAAGGCACGGTTCACGATCACCTATAACTATCTAAGCTCTTGGAAAAGGAAGATAGTGAAAAAACGCAACGAAGATCCCTGTACAAGTTTCGCTTCAGAAAGGTGTGAGTAAGAGCGGTAAGGCACAAAGTTGTACAGGTGACTCCGCCAAAAAGCCAGTGACTCCGCCCATTGGTTGTCCTAATCAACTGCGTGCTTCTCGCCGCTCTTTTCTGGTCTCTCACACCATGAAACCACGTTGAATTTCGCACAGGGGAAGCCTGGTATCGAGATTCCAACTATTACCTTTATGTTTATGTTTATGTTTATGTTTATTACGCTGCCAAAAAACCTCTGGTTTTTTTTATTTACGAGAGAGTCAACTGGAACGTACCACTTATAATTCTAAGCCCGATACCAAGGAATTTCTCGGTGGCTCATAGCGAATCCTGCCTTTAATATGAGCAATTACCGTAATCGCTATGCCGAGCTCAAGAAGCTCAGCCCTTTCCCCGCGCGCCTCCTCTAATTGTTTAGGCATTCAGATTACGTTATCTGCACTTGTGGGGCGTTAAACCAACAGGCATCAAGAAGGCTCGTATTGCTGGAATCTGATTATTATTTTAAATACATATTTTATACTGCTATATTGCTACGACTTTTGTGCTGATGATATGGATTTTCCCAGGGTTTTTAGGCGTCATATCACCCTATAGGCTATCTTTTGGCAAAGCTTGAAGACCAGTGTCACATTTTGTTGTCCACAGCAGTTGACTACTCGTTAAAATCACTTTGTGGAGACAAACATTGAAATTTATGCCGCCTTCTGCGCCTTAGTTTCAAGCACAGCCTAAGATTATTTATTTTTTATTGAACGACTTGACAAAAGTAGCTTGGCAATTGAAAGGCGTCCAGAACAAATAATTTGCTTGGTTGTCGTCATCATGTGTGGGAAATTAATAATTTTCCTTCTCTGCTGCTGCCACGCCCACCACATCTCAAGGGTATGTGGATTGCTATTCGTGTGGTCAAAATGCCGTCTTCATCTTCCTTGCGTCGCCTATCGTTTTGTCGTTCACGCCCGAATTCCTTATCCCTGAGACGAAGTAGGCGTGGCATTTAAACATGGCAGAGAATCGGTTACTCATGGATATTTCAATTTGAGACAGCTGTCATCTGTGATGTGTTGGAAGACACGATCACAATTGTGTCAAATTAAGTGTCTTTCCAAAAGCATAGCCATAGCGACG